TATGACTTCATAATATATGGAACTTATCGGTTTATACAAGACTTAGCTTTGTTTTACTTTTGATCATCCTGGTCCGAATTGGTAAACAAGCTTTAAAACCTTGCCCTGTAAAAATTGTTGTACACGTAACCAGCAAAACCTAATTACGACCTAACCTGACCAATAAGCAACGGAAGAATAAGTCTAATTTGCTTGCACTATTGTTTTTTTTTTCAATTCCTCCAGATAGCCTACAAGTCTCTGACGGGATCAGATGCACATGAAATAACAATGTCAGTGTTTGAACATCTCTCGAGCTTCCACTGGGACGGCAAGCTTGTGCTGACTCTAGCCGCCTTCGCGTTGAACTATGGAGAGTTCTGGCTTCTGGTCCAGTTCTACTCAAAGAACCAGCTTGCTAAGTCCCTAGCTACGCTGAAGCTTGTCCCTGTTCAGAACAGAGTGACCCTCGAGTCTGTGTCCCAAGGTCTCAACGATCTCATCCGAGAGATGAAGAGCGTCACCGCATGTGTGGTGGAACTCAGCGAGTTACCTGATCGGTACATTACACCTGACGATCCTCAGTTATCGAGGATCATCGCCACAATCCCAATTGCTGTCTATTGGACGATAAGAAGCGTTGTGGCTTGCATTTCTCAGATAAACATGATCACTGCCATGGGACACGAGTGCGATAAGATTTGCTTTCATTATCGCAATTCTTATTGCTCTGAATTTACGTCTTCAAGATCACCTGCTAACAAATCATTTTTATCAGGATGATGAACACTCAAATGGACTCATGGGAAACATCGATGTTAGCTAACAAGCTCAAGAACATCCATGACCATCTCTCTGAGACCTTAAGGTTTTGTTACCGTCACATAGGTTTGTACTCTCTCATTCAACAGATTCATCTCTCTGTTTCTCTTACTGACAAAGACTGGATTTTGCAGAGAGGCGGAGGAGCTCAGAGTCCTTAAAGGTGTTGCACTCTCTGTTCGACACCACTCATATTGATAACATGAAGATTCTCACGGCCTTGATTCATCCGAATACCCACGTCACGCCGTTGCAAGATGGTTTGACCAAGAGCAAGGTTTCTGCATTACATTAAACGTAAACTTCTCAATGCGATGATATGATTAACCTCTAACCTACTATGAATGAATCTTGTAGGTTCACTTGGATGTGTTGAGGAGGAAGACGGTGCTGCTGCTCATCTCTGATCTCTACATATTACAAGATGAGCTATCGATATTCGAGCAAATCTATACAGAGTCTAGGAGGAGCTTGATGGGAGTCGATGGTAAGAGTCATATGCCTTACGAGGTTGTGTGGGTTCCAGTCGTCGATCCCATCGAAGATTTCGAAAGGTCTCCGAGTCTACAAAATAAATTTGAGGCCCTCCGTGCAGCGATGCCATGGTACACAGTGGATAGTCCGAAGCTGGTAGAGAGACATGTGGTGGAGTTTATGAGAGAGAGATGGCATTTCATGAACAAGCCCATACTTGTTGTGATTGACCCACAAGGCAATGAGGCTAGTCTCAATGCCCTTCACATGATCTGGATTTGGGGAACTGAAGCTTTCCCTTTCACTAGATCTCGTGAGGAAGAGCTTTGGAGGAGAGAGACTTTCTCTCTTAACCTCATCGTCGATGGCATCGACTCTGTCATTTTCAACTGGGTAATTCTAAAGTCTCATACTTTTCTTATTTATGTATGATTCATTCATACTCAAACGGGTAACTGAAAAGTTGGAAACTTTCCAAAACCTCACATCTTAAGGCAGTGAATACTATATGATATATAAATGAAATGTTTAGACCCAATGCGATGAGATCAGAGCCTTGATAGATGGGTCTGATGATGATTGTGCCAATTACAGATAAATCCAGAGAATGACAATTACATCTTCTTGTACGGAGGAGATGACTTGGACTGGATAAGGAGATTCACAACGGCGGCAAAAGCAACGGCCAAAGATTCCAACGTGAAGCTGGAGATGGCTTATGTCGGAAAACGAAACCATAGCCACAGGGAACAGACCAGGCGGATCAGCGAAGCAGTCAGGTCTGAAAATCTGAGCCATTGCTGGACCGAGCCTGCCTTGATGTGGTTCTTCTGGACTAGGCTCGAGAGTATGTTGTACTCCAAGATTCAACTCGGTAAAGCTGATGATCACGACGAGGTAAAACTAAAAACAGAGTAGACTAGGGG